ATTTTGATTATCTTGTGTTTTTGTACCTCCTTATGCTTGAGTATGAACTACTGAAGGTAGTGATACACATAGAGATGTGATTTGATCAAGGGCTTTGAGCCCTAAGGATGAAATACGAGATTAGTGATCGAGGAGGCTGTATGGATTAAGAAAATTTTAATCGACTTGACTTTCACCTCGTGCGTTGTGAGACAGTAAGATTTTTTTACGACAGCACAGTGACGATATGCGTGTCAAAGGAGCCATGATTCTATAAGAACTCTAAGCATATAAAACCATGTTTTTATCACCTGAGAAATGAGGTGAGATTGAGAAAGATCGAGATTGAGATCCAGATAAACTAAATATTTCAATGGGAGCACCTACTAGTATTTGACATGCTAAATGGAACAACAGATTATAATGTTGTTCACCCATAGAACCTAAATGTTTGGTGCTAGTTGTATGGCTACAAAATGGAGCAGCTTATTTGAAGAACTTTTTTGAGCCCATGAACATATGACCTCATGCGATGAGGGTACGTGATAGTCTTTGGCGACAACAAGTTCATGATTCGCAATGTGATGTGAAAGATGAGCTACGACTATTTTTGGGATGAGATCCAAGTAGCAAAGAGAAAAATGTGTTGCCTTTATAAATCCTCTTGTGAAAGGATTGATGGCGAAAGCCATGATTAATGTATTGAGAGAATAAGTAAAAATGCTTGAGAGAGATTGTAATTAGGAGAGAGAGATGGGAATGAGAGAAAGTGAGAAAGAAAAAATGTAAGGACTTCAAAAGCCAAGTGGGAGATGTTGGGTCATGTGGCCTTTAAAGGCCTTATGAGTGCTTGTAACATGAAATGATACAGTGGAACAAACCGAGAAGAATTTTAATGGGTTAGCCCTTGATGAGGTTAGAGAATATGCCCGGTTGAGTGAGCTGAGGGACTGTGTGACCCTTGTGTGTGATAGTGGCCTACAGAGACAGGGGCTAAAATCTCATCCATGTACCATCACACGACATGCATATCGATAGATCATTCGAGAAAGCTAGAAATCCACCTTTTAGGGTGAAGCATATGCATGTGTGAGAGATACCCCTATGCACCACAGGAGCTATGATCGCATCAAGTCTAGGTGACCTTGACTCGTCTCTAGGGGATGACCTAAAATCCATAGACAGGGATTGCGATCCCTTGGCTCATCGTCGGACTTTGATGACCCGCTAATGAGCCCCTGTTCGGACTGTGGGTCATGGAAAATACTGGGTCGGTTTGATAAAACAAGTGTGGTCTGTAGTCCACAGTTGAAGGCGGAGTGCCTCATGATTGTTGATTCCTAAACCATATGGATCATTTTCCCATCAAATTAATTTAATTGTGTTTGTTTTATGATGGAAATTATTTTAATATTATTATTTGAATTTTTATGAACCCTTGGATTTTTTATTTATAATTTTTAGATTTATTAAATTAAAGATATTGATTTTACAATTGTTTAAATATTCAAATAATATTTTAAAATCTTTTTATTAATTTTAAATATATAAAAATATCATGGAGGCCCATTGTGCACATGGGCTCGCCATATTTTTAGAAGGTGGCCCATGAGTGCTTCCCTTGGGTGGCATGCCCCACCGTTATTCTCTTTCATATTTTTTGGTGATATGACATGTGGCCATATGGTTGGACGATATAGACTAAATATTAATTTGATACATAGTAGACTTGTGTTATTTTATGGTATGTACAATATTTTAATTATATTTAATTTATTTAATTTTTGTTGATGGAAAAATGATTTAGAAAAGGGGGATAATGGTTCATGCACATTTCATATTGTTGATGACTCATCTATGAAATGGATGACTCAGATCTCTCATCCTACAAGTTACCCTTGATCGAGGGTCTATGTCCAATCTCCAAGAAAGAGGCAAGCCAAAGAAAACCCCAAGAAACCCTAATTTTATTCAAAGCTTATAAAAATAGATTATTGTTACCAAAAAAATCTCTACACCTTATCTTTTTATTTCTCTCTCTTAATAAAGTTTCTCTCTCTCATGTTTGATCTCTCTGTCCCACATTGTGAAAGAACCTAAGGGTTTAGGTTATAAAGTTCTTCTCTTTTTTATCTCTCAAATATGGATTTATGGTTAAAGGTTTTAGGGTTTACCAAAAAGAGAATCCATCTCTCTCAAACTAGGTTGCTAAGAGAATTCACCTAGAGTTTGAGTTTGTGATCAAAAGGGTTCATGTTCCATTCGTGTGGCTTGGCCGAAATTTGCTTTCCCTGTTCGATATTGAAGCTAGACCATTGATCCCGTGCCATCGGATGGTGGTGACTCGGTGTGGGGTGTAATAAGCCCGGTTGAGGTAATTTCCAGCACTCTTCCTTTTGTTTCTTGCAATCTTATCATTTATTCTCAAGCATAGTGCATAGTTGTTTCAATGGCATCAAGTTGTTAAGATCTTGGTTTGATTGTTATGTTGATTTATTTTGAAATGACCAATTGTAAGTGATCTTTTGTCAAAAAAAAGGGGTGAAGACAAAAAAAAAAAAAGTGTTTTCCCTGATAAAAGATCACATAGGTTTTTCTTTCATTTTCATGGTGGTGGAAACTATTGTGCGTATTTTCTATAATGTTGGAAATGGTTGGGTGAAAAAGGGAAAAATTTGAAACAAATTTTCTTTTTGTTTTTGAGCACGCAGGACAGCTTCCTTTAGACTATATTTGCCGCCCTTCAATACTGTAAGTAGTGTATATAAGAAGGGTAATTTGTGTGTAGAGAATGGCGTCTCAAGAATAGGAAAGTGAACCCATTATATAGAGTTCTAAGTTGATATGAATTAACTGTTCAAGTGAACATTTTCGTATTGTTGCACAACATATTGTGACTGTTGGATTCCAAACAACCACTATCAACAATTATCAGCTGTTGGATGTGAATAATTACACAATATGTTGGATTCCAAATAACCACTATCAACAATTATCAGCTGTTGGATGTGAACAATTACATGTGCTGCCCTTTGTCTCAACGACTGCAATTAGTTTAAGGTGCCTTATATTTTCAACGACTAGTGAAGTTGGATCTAGCATGCACCATGCAAAAAATAAATCGAGCCTTGAGCCTGGCCTCCATGCATGCTCAAGCGAATGGCACTTCATATGCCGATGCGAACGTACGAAGTGTGCTATCAAGCGCCCTCACATACACGAGTCAAACGATCTTAAAAAAAATCATTCTTTTTTTGTAGAACTGATATAAGTATATATTCTTTTACTTTTTTATCAAAAAAAAAAAACAAACTTCATCTCTATACCTTTCTTGAAACTTCCATTCTCTTCATTTCTTTGAGTTTTAGGCTTTGAGATAAGCACATTAAAATTGGGATTAAATTAAGAATCTTGATTTAACAAAAATTTCATAAAAAATTCTCCAACATATTCACCTAAAATGTTATATTCTAAAAGAAAATAAACACTAGAAACATATTCCCAGAAAAATTGTTCTCCTGAAACAACTGTATATCTCAAATAATTGGCATAGTATGAGAAAGAGTAACCCGACAAAAAAAATTATGAAAACCAAGAGCGTCATTAAAGAGCAAGATTCTGTCATAAAAAAGACTTAGGCGGTTGGAAATTCAACATGAGGTTCAAATATTTAGGTTTGCTTTCAACTATTGTCAATACAAGTAGGTATTTTCTCTGTATACAAAAGTTTGATTAATCTCATTTTCTGAATTTTTTGTTATTTCATTAGTGCGTATACAACGCAACAATTTGGATGAAGTATTTCTTTTTGTGTTTGTTAAAATTGCAACCGTAAGGGGTCTCCTTTTTTTCGAACATTAATCTTGTTACCTTAGGTTACAGTTCTTATTATTTGGTAATTGTAGCATTTAGTATTATTAGTATTATTATTTTTTAACAATAACTGAATATTCTTGTAATTATTTTATTATACACTCCCAATAAATCAGCCAAGTTTTGTGTAGTAATAGCAGAGGAAGCATATTGTTTATTTGATGAAAATTTAGATCAAAATTTATCTAGTATTCCCTAAATGATATAAAGTAAGGACATAAAATTAATTTTTAACAATTTTAATATATTTTTACAATAACGGTAAATTATAATTTTAGCTTATGTTTTCTTTTCACTCAATTTTGTTTTGAGTTAAATCTGAAATATTCATGATTGTTTAACATCTAAGTTTTGGCTCTATCCATAACTCGGTTTTTTTGCCTTCGACTTTTTAGAATGAAATCAATTTATTATCAGTGTCTTGGTTTTGCCGATATATTGTTTTTTTACGACACTCTAACAATGATCAACACAGTCGATCAAACCATTGGTGAGATTGATACTTGGTTTCAATGGCACCAACCAACCAATCAAAATCAAAACCAAAACCAAACCCTCCAGCATCCTAAACTTCCCGAGTCTTAACAATAATGTTTGTTTTTCCAGGTAAAAATAAAAAAAAACCTTAACAATAGTGTTTTTGAGCATTGGCCAATCCGGCCGGGTATTTAAAAAGAATAAAATAAAAAATATATATAATATAAAAAAATAAGGGATTTGTTTGTAATGTGTTTTTTAATTTTTTTTTATCATTTTGGTAAATATTGGAAAGTGTTTTGGGTATTGAATACTTATTTTTAAATTTTTCATCTTTCTTGAAATTTTTTGAGCACATTAAAATTTTGAAACATATTTTTCACTACATCTCAATTTTATTTGGATGTGTTTTGTATAATAATGCTTTAAATATACTTTTGATAATTTTTATTTTTTTTTAGAATTGATATTTTTTTAACATTTTTTTAGCGCACTGGCCGGCGGTTTGAACAGGCCTGCCGGTTTATCGGTTTCTCGGACGACTTCGGACGCCGGTTCGATTTCTGAACACTGGTCGGTTTTGCCTAAGGGAGTAAACGGACCTTATACTTCTGGCGATTCTTAAAAAAGAGAGAGGGAGACAGTTCAGATAGAGAGAGAGAGAGAGAGAGAGGGAGACAGCTCAGACAGCGCGAGGAGAGAGAGATGAGTGCATTTAGTTTGGGTTTGCCAAAAGGCATGACTAACATGAGGCAAACCCTGTTGCATTCCCGATCAAACTTTATCTGCAATTCATTTTCTTCATTTAAGTTCAATTCTCTGCGATTTTCATGCTTCAATCTTCTTGTATTTCAACCAAAAACTTCAGGTATGTTAAACAAAAAAACACGCTTTTATACTATCGTAGACTCTGTATATATTCCATCTCTCTCTATTGGTTAGTGGACAATCGAAGCAATGACTAAATACTGGAAAAGAAGCTTATCATATCACTTGATTGAAAGTTGTTTCTGCTGCTTGAATCGATTTTCCGCCGTTTAATGCCAGCTTTCTGACGAGTAAACGAATTGTATGACATGGTCACTGTTAATTTGCGTAGTGTGCCCTAATCTTTTGCTTTTCTTCTGTGTAATTTGATTTGTGTAGTTTTATGATTCTATCTGATCTTGTGTAGCTTAATAACTTGCAGTGGAGCTAGAATTAACATTTTATGCTTTACATAGAAATGGTTATCTTACAAAATTGGTTATGGAATTTGAGTTCTGTGGTTTAATGAAACTGGATATTCAGATGGAGGAATTTGAGTTTCTAATGGATGGAGAAGTGTAAAATATTGTATCCTTTTTTACTAGTGGTTGAATTGATTAGAGAAAGTGTTAGCTTTTTAATGTGAAGGCAATTTAGATGAATTCTTTGTAACTGTACATTAGAAGTATATTGGAGAAAGTCAGTAATCCCTCTCAATCAAGGTATGGATTTATCATCAATTTTACTTTTACAATCTCTAAGATAATTTTTTACAAAGAAGCCTCTAGACAAGGTTTGGATAAGATTAGGCCAGAGTATAAAATATGATTTAAATCAACAGCAATACTTGAATGTTTACACAACCCTATCTGTATGTGTATGTTTTTTTAAGTGTTTGGAGAGAGAGAGAGAGAGAGAGATTTTCAACGCTTTCAAGTCATGTGAAGGGGTTTGGCCCCCTAGTCTCATATGAAACATTTTTCTAATCAAGGTAAGATGGTTTTTTGGCATGTGTGTCAACACACCAAGGACACTACACTTGTTTTCGACAATTTAGAAACTTAGGCACTTCTTGTTGACCTTTCATGTTGGTATCTTCGTATAAAAGTAGTTTGATGCTCTTCGAAATGATCTATGGATATATTGTGTCTGAAGGCCGATGTCGGGGTTGGCAAATCTGACAATTGTAAATATGTTTGAAATAGATGTATCTATCTGTGTTTTTTATAGAGGTCTTGACTGTTGAGTGTATCATTTAAACAAGAGTCTATATTTTGCCATTGAGTATAGGAATTCAGTCTAGAATTAGATGAAACTCTAAAAATGGAATGATTAATGGTTGCGCTTGGTAAAGTATCTGAAAATTTGACTACTGCAAAGAGAGAAAGTGTGTCATTTGTAAATGACTAGTTGATGATTTCCTCTACTAAAGAATTTCTCCAAAACTTGTTATGTATCATGTGGAAGCAAGTGTATGGCAATATATACCATATTCATTGTGTTTTGTATTCTTGATCATCTTTTTTTTTTCAAAACCCAAAAACCTCCTTATCGCTTGTAAGTGATACTCTTCATACCTAATTGTTTCTACCATTCATAATTTAGTTGTTTTTTGATTTATAACATACATAGAAGACATTTCAAAAAGAGATAATAATAGTGATAATATATATGATACTAAAAAGCTTCCAATTAATAACTGTGATTGTGATATTCTTTACCTTATGTTATACATTCCTCATTATATGTTTCTAACTTCACATATGCTACTTCGATAAAAAAGATTGTGTTTCCAGCCATTGGCTAAAGTGAATGTTAGGGCTTCAACAAAGTGCAAAGGCCAAATTGATTGTATGGATCAGTGTAGGAAAAATATAACTGGAATGGTCAACCATACATGGTCCGGGAAGCGGTTCAACCGGCCTAACTGGGCAAGTCTCGGGCGGCTAAAAAAGTGTTTAAAAAAAAAAAAATTACAAAAAGAAATCTAATATGAAAAGTATATTTAAAACATGATTGAACATAGCACATCCAAATGAAGTTCAAAATTAATGAAAAAAATAGATTTTAAAAAATCGATTTGTGCCCAGGAGTATTTTTGAAATTTTGTAAAAAAGATGGGAAAATTTAAAAATAAGTATTAATAGTCAAAACAATTTTCAATCTTTGCCAATATGATGAAAAACATTAAAAAATGCGTTACAAACAAAATTCCTTATTTTTTGAGATTTTATATAATGTTTTTGAATTCTTTTAAAATACTCGGTCGGTTTACCAAAACAGGCTGAAACCGGATCTGATTAGTGGCCAGTTCCGATCTAACCAAGCTTAACTGGGCACATAGAATTTGAACCGCCCAATTTTCCTACACTGGTATGGATTGGTGTAAGTTCTCATGGTGTTGTAGTCTTGTGTAATGAATAAATTTCCAGTTTGAAAACGACATTTGACAATACTTTCAGAGTAAGCAAGCTTTCATTGTGAATGCATCACTGAAATAGCGGTTGTGAATGCGGTTGTCTTGTGAACCATGGGAATCTTTTGAACAGCCAGCCTATGTTGTTTCATTGATTTCCAGTTCAAAAAACCTTGTCGTCCATATAAAGAAGGAAATGTGTATTACTAATTCCAATGGATTTTAGAAGAACCAATGACTGTTTGATCGTCCATTTTCATAGAATTGATGTACTGTGATGGAGAGTGTGTGCCCTCTAGTGGGGTCCTATCCGTTTTTGGTTGGTAACTCCAGACAATGGTTCTTCCATATTCCACTTGGGTTATATATTCATCAACTGAATCTAATTGCCGTAACCATCGTGGCACAAACCTTGTTGGGGACCTTTCCTTTGTTGTGAATGATGTCATTTTAGTTATGACCTAATGTTTCTCAAATATGTAGGGTTTTGCAATGTGGTACATGCAATAAAGGGTGGGGATGAAGTTATACTGAAAGCAATAGGAGACAAGAACAGCATTGAGGCTGTGAAGAACATTCTTGAAATGGTATTGGCTTTATGTTTGAGCAAATTTTCTCTACTTTGTATCCAGAATGTAATAATGTTTTAATTTGTTCTAATTCTTGTATACTTGTTCGTAATGGAGACTTACCTAGTTCATATCTTTGGGCTGTAATCTCACTTTATGGAGATTGATCTTAGTACTATTGGGAGCTTGAGTTTATGGATCTGATTTTTAGATTGATGCGTCATTACTTTGGTATATGTGTGAGTATGGTGCATTCCTAGAAAGTTTGAAAGTTACTTTCAGGAGCACAATGTGCCCACATTATAAATCTCTCTCTCTCTCTCTCTCTCTCATATGCATTAGGCATGTGTGCCCACAGATTTGCATGACATACACTTTTTTGTTATGTAGTAGCCATTGAGAAATTCTTATTAGGAACATATACATGTGTGCTGATTGTCTTCCCATCATTTTGTCAAGGCAAGGAGGGCTCTAACTAGGAAAGAAGTTTATCATACTGATTTTCTGACTCCACCCGTACTAAGAGATGCAATGTTTGCACTGGAAAAATTATCAGATGTTGAAGCTGTTTCTCAAGGGGGTTATCCACAGGTTAAATCCCATGATGCTAGTTAATTATTATCATTAGAATGACATAAATTCCGTCTGTTCATATTAGTGAGAACAAATAACTGCTGGTTAGCCTGTTCTCTTTGAAAACAGAATGATATTTTAATAGTCCAAATCTCCAATGCTTATAATCATTTTTCTTCTTGTCCATGCTTCTCTTATAGTTTTTGCATAGAGTTGGAAGTTGGGCAACTTTTCCTCCAAATTTGCCTAAATAAAGTGCCAGTAATTATCTTGGCGTAACAATATATTCGTCCTGATTTTAATCATAAAAAGTGTATTTGGTTTGTTAAAGATTTTCTCAATCAGAATCAATGCGTATTATCATTTAAAAATTTCAAGAATTTCTTTTTCTTCTTCAAGACTGCCCTTGGAATCATTATCTACTTAAAATTTGTTGCCCCTTTACTTCTTTTTTTTAATTATTATTATTTAATTATTTTCATGCAGATCTTCATGTTCCAAGCATGTTGTTTTTGGCACATTTCTTTTCATATAGTTTCCTTGCAATACATATGACAGCAATTAGATTTGTATCACTACGCGTCATCAACAGTACCAATCAGCTTATGCAGTGTCCTATTTGCCTAGGCTGAACGTTGCCGCCTATCGATTGGATGTCCTGAAGCAATGTCAAATGTTCCTGATATAGTTGCTGCTTTGAGGTTAGTAATTCAAATTTTTATATAATGTGCATGCTATGGTCTAAGGAAAACCATAGTCCATTGGGGTTATCACTGTCTGGTGAAATGGATGGTGATGGAGAGAGAATCAGACACTCCATTGCGGTCATTTCCTGTTCTTGTTGGTGGTGATGCCAATGAACTCTGGTTTTGCATAGTCTGTTGGATTATTTAGTGTAGTTTCCCATAGTTCATATGCTTCCAGAGTTTTATTCCTTCTCAAGGTTATATTTTCTAGGATTTACAGTTCCATTGAAATCCCTCACAAAATCATCTTCAGTAAATTGTTGAACTTTTCAGCATCACAGGAAACTTTGGATTTGAACCTTGCTCTCATGGTGACTTTCTTGGAGCTGTTCTTGGTACAGGGATTGCCAGGGAGAAAGTTGGTGACATTCTTCTCCAGGTGTGACTGTTGCTTTTTCTAATAATTAGAAGTGCATATGGGTTAACTCAAGAATTTGTGTGTCGCTTAACTTGTATGTCTATGTTCTCTTTACTACTTTGGGTGTTAGGTTTGCTAGGAGAGATATCATTCAGGTTAAAAAACCAATCGTCCTGTTCCAGGGTGAGAAAGGAGCTCAGGTTATTGTTGTTCCAGAGCTCGTTGATTACCTGAGATCTTCCCTAGTAAAGGTGAAGTTTTTCTTTTATTGTATTAATATTTTGTAACCTCTATATATTGTTACATTCTAATCAATAATCTATTAGTGAGGTTGTTATCTTTTGCCTAAATAGATATGTAAATGCCTTTTTTATTAATTGTAAAAGAAATTAAAATGAAGTTGAGGGGGAAATTCTATAGGATAGCTATGAGGTCAGCTTTGCTTTATGGGGGTGCAATGTTGGGCGGTCAAAAAATAACATACTGATAGGATGAATGTAGTTGAGATGAGTATGTTAAGATGGATGAGTGGCAAGACAAGAAAGGATAGAATTTGAAATGAATGCATTTGAGAGAACTTAGGTGTGGCTCCAACAAGCGATAAAATGAGTGAAAGTAGACTTAGGTGGGTGGCCATGTGCAACACAGACCCAGTACAATACCTGTTGGGAGGTGCGAGTTGGTTCAAGTGGAAGGCTAAAGAAAAGTAGGGGGTTGCCCCAAAAAGACATAGTTGGAGGTAATAAGAAAAGATATGGGGACTTATGGTCTCGTATGATCCTTGATAGAGCAGCAGAATAGTTGACTAGAATTCGTGTAGTCGACCCCAAATAAATGGGAAAAGGCTATGATGATGATAGAAAAGAAATTGCAATAGGTGGCATATAACGGTAGTGGTGGTTGTGGTGGCAGGCTCCATAATGTGACATCTTTACTTCCATTCTCACCAATCCCAAGTTAACATTCCAAAAAAAAAGGGAAAAAAAAATAGGGAAAGAGATGACAGCCCGAATCCTTTGCTTAGGCACCTAGGTACACTCACAATTACCCTCCTCTAAAGCCGTCTGACTCCTCAATCCCCATTGACAACTGGTGAAATGCTTATCCATTCTTTGATCCCTCGAACCTTGCCTGGAACTTCCTCCAACTTCACTTCATATTTGAGCAAGCTTAGTAGCTAACGTGCGATTACTTTGTTACCCAATTCCCGACATGCTAGGATTGGAGAAACTAAACTTCTATGGAATTCAGTTAATCGACGGATACATCTTAGGGATGTTATCATGACCTAACTTTATTGCCTCTTGTCAAAATTTCCTTTTGTACTTGATGGTTTTCTTGTTTTGTAATATAGGTACTACAGTAAGCATGCATATAATGTTTGTGCAAATACCTCGATGTAATGCGACTCAGATCTTGAGACTCGGAAATTGATTTACCTGTCCTTCTAATGTCCCATTTCAGTAGTTACTAACAGATTGTGTTAGATATGACAAACTTCTGGGTATCAGGTCTAGCATATGACATATAACGTTCCACTTCTTTCAGTTAATGGCCTTTTCGCCAAAAGCATAAACTGAAATTCAACTTAAATTCACCAATATATGAAGTCATGATTTGAATAATGAAATGGCTAGTGGTACATTTCATGAACTTCTTTGAAAGCAGAGTATGTCATTCTATCGCAAAGGTAAATTTGTAGTAAGAATAGAATTGTTCAAGATTAGATAATTTCTTAAATGTGGCACTTGCACATGATATAAACTGGTCATCCATCTTTTTTTTTTAAGAGAAATTTACAGTGTATTACATTCCCCCAGACCAATGTGCAAAAAACGCCTCACCTCCACAACTTCCATGTGCAACCTCATTACCTCCCAGTGAATCTTCATGCAACCCCCTCAGTACCGGTTCAGCCAAAATCAATTTTTTTCTCTTCTAATAAACTAACCTAATATTTTTTCCTAAATCGAAGCTCCCAACCTCTCTCTCTCTCTCTCTCTCTA